AGGCCAAATAAGGACTTCAACACAAAAAAAGTAATTTTCTGTTTTGTTTTATTCTTGGATCAGGCTTTAAAGGGTTAAAACCTTCACGCGGAAGCACAAATCGTACTATTTTTCTTAATAAATAAAAAAACATACATATCCAAAGTTTGTTTGAAGTTATTCATGCCTGCCCTGCACACTAACTCAACCTTAAGTATTGGTGGTAAAAGAAAACCAAAAAACAAACAAACATTGGAGCCAATTAAACAGATTCATAACTTAAGTTTTGCTTTTAATCTCTTACAGTGCAAAAACCATCCAGAAATAAGTCAAAATGTCTTAAATTAAATGTATTTACCCTTAATTTGAGTAGGTAAATAAGATTAATTGCCAATGGGATGAGGATATTTACTCTTAAAATAAGATAATTAGATAATATGCACTTGAAATAAGACAATTAATTTGTTTTTTCTTATTTCAAATGTGAATTGTCTTATTCCATTGGCAGAGTGTCTCACTTACCCCCTAAATTCAAGAAAAAATGTACTTATTTTAAGAAAAAATGACTTATGTAGATTTTGATTTTTTCCAGTGTATATAACCTGTTCAGATTTTCAGCCCTTGGTCGTGCTGCCATCTTGACACACAAGCGTCGCTGCATCTGAATTACAATGAGCATTTTTTCCACAGTGCTTTTCAGCCTGTGGTTCGGGCAGAATGACATGCAGCTGTAATTGTTGGGAGGCGGCTCAAGACTCGCTGAAATGGGGCAAAAACATGTGGCGATGCTGCTTGATGAAACCCAAGTCTGCCTGTCAGAGCCAGCGTTCGTCCTAATGAGGCCGCCGCGTAGTGACCACACACACGCTGTCGTCTGCTGCTTGATATAAATCCCAGACTCCCTAAAGGACACACATCCCCACACACTAACATCGTGCTCACGCAGTCCTCGCTCAGAGCTCTTACAGCCTTCTAGTGACATTTTGAGGGAATTTGCAGTAATAGGTTGGAAAGAGCAGACACAATGGAGCAGGCGACAGTAGGTGGGAACAGATTTATCTGGACGCTGAGTCCCAGAGGAAGATTCTCGGAGGTTGGCCAAAGCATTCGCTTGACCTGCACAAATGCTGGGGAGAAATTCAACAGTTCAGAGAGGCAACTTTATTGTTTCAATAAGAAATTTCAATCCCTTTGATGATATGTAGACAGTTTCCAGATTAATATTCCTTTAAGATTCAGTAGAATTTTGTGGCCAACTTTGCATTAGCATTTTTTTTTTTACATTCTCAAGATTTTAAATGTTTTTTTACTATTTAGTTTAAAAAGTAGGCTTACAAATAACATCAAAATACCTTTTTTTCACTTTAAAGGTGACATAGACATGTAGAATGTTGCCTAAGAAGGAAAAACATGTAAGATTTTGAAGAGCTAAGGTTTACTTTAGGTTTGCCAGCTGGTGTGACTTTAAAATTATGGCTGCAGTGAAATTTATTTAACCAGGATACAAACTTACATTTTTGGTCCAATAAAGGAACTCTCAACCATAGGTCTAATAATTCCTCTGCAGCTATTCAACCTGCACTTACGTAGAAGATCCTGGTTTTATTTTCAGGCAATATTTTCAGATCATCTGTCTGGAAAGGGTTTATTACTAACATAAAATAGTTTAGGTTTTAAACAGTTTTTAACTTACAGTAAGAGGCTCTTCGAATATGTATCATTGGCTAATATGTATTTCTCCTGTACTTAACTCCCGAAAATAAACCACTACCTTGATCCTTCTATCACTTTTAGAATTGAACAATGATCATCCCTCTTTATAACATCACATGGCCTACTGTAAAACAACCTTTACCTGTTATAAACTTTATAGAATTGATCAAATAAATAAAATAATGTAAATACCATTGTATGGATCCTTTTTTCCAGCAGTGATAGAGAGCACCACAGTGCAAGAAAGACACACATCCTGCATCGGAAACACTTTAGTATATCTGATACTCTGCAATCTGAGAGTTTTTCAGACAAAACCGCTAGCTTTGTCTTGGCAGGTTATACTGTGCAAAAAACCTTGTGTTTTTATCCCTCACTCTCACATTTGTGGGGGATTACTTGTCAATTCTTTGTTTTTTGTGTGTCATAAATTTTATCACACAGAATAGCTCAACAAAGGAAGAAGTTACAAAAATTGTACCATAAGAGCAATATGTGATGTAGATCTGTAAGGAAAGTCTGTCACTACACTGCAAGAAATGTAAGTTATTTTTTCTTAAAATAAGTGCATTTTTTTCTTAAATTGAGGAGGAAAGTGAGACATTTTGCCAATGGAACGAGACAATTTACATTTAAAATAAAAAAAAAAAAAAACAATTGCATTGTCTTATTTCAAGTGCATATTATTTAATTATCTTATTCTAAGAGTGAAAACACTCATCCCATTGGAAAACTATCTCCTTTACCTACTCAAATTAGGGGTAAATACACTTAATTTAAGACATTTTTCCAGTGTAGGATTTATTGAATATTTACAACAGTTATTTAGTTATTTACCTATTTTCTTTTTCCTTTAGCGTTTAAAAAACATAAAATAAAAACCAAAAGAATATCAAAGTTCATGTTTTTTTTTATATGAATTAGAATCTTATTAACAGTATGTAAATTGAACATGTAGGAGACCTAAAGTTGGATGATCATTATATATCAGTGTTGGAGCTATTCAGTGTATTCTCATTATCAGTTCGTACGAAATCGTACGAAAAGTTATGCACAGTAATTTCGTAGGTTTTTGACGTTTTTTTCGTCGTATTTTTACGTCTTGCCTCAAGACAAGATATCCTTGTCACAGCATTCAATAACATAGAATTTAACATACAATTAACCCTAACCCTGACCCTAACCCTAAGATACAAAACAGCAGGCAACCTAGTTAGAGACATCAAGACGTAATTATTGCACAGTTTTTCCCAGTTTTACGCGCATGCGCACTGATCTGTTTTTTCGCGGAAAAACGTCCAAAACGTACGAAATACTGTGCATAACTTTTCGTACGATTTCATGCGAACTGATAATGAGAATATGTTGAGCTATTAAACACCAATTAGAGAGACACTAACCCAAGAATAAAGAAATAAAACATATTTTCCAAATTTGCCAAATATTTGTTTATTTTCTTCCTGTATTTGTAACTTATATATAATCCTATATTTCCTACATGCAGGTTAAAGTTTGGTTTCAGAACAGGCGGATGAAGTGGAAGAGAGTGAAGGGAGGACAATCGGCTTCGCCCAACGACCTGGAAAATGATGACATTGACTCGGCTGCTTCGCCCAGCTCTGAATGATGGAGGCCAGCCCTGTAGGAAATTACAAAAAAAGGAAGCAACTTGATCAGCTGGACGTGGACACAATATTTGGTTAATTGTGTGGAAAGTTGGCTGAAGGAAACGTTAATTTTTCAGACTTCTTTTTTCAATTATCCCCTTGGAAAAGGAAAAAAAAGACTGAGAAAAGGTTTTACTGTTTTCTGATGTACATAGTTGACGTAATGAGCCCTTTTTGACAATTTACTGATAAACACTCAGACTGACAGCCGCTCTTTTTTTGCTCTGACTGTTTAAATATGAATGAAACTTGAGCCCAGTGTGGGTCGGTGACAGACAGAAGCTTTTGGTGTCTCGATGTCATATCAACTGTGTGTTTGGAAACATACCATCTCATTTCAGTATTGTTAGCACAGCCTTTGATGCTTGACTATAACCACCTGGAAAAACTTTGTGTTCTTGTGTTGCCAAGTCCTAAGTGCCTCCAAGTCAGGCGTTCTTTAAATAATTTGTCAGTTTCTTCTTTTGCATATGATTTTTTTCCCCAAGTCTTTTTATTGCTCCTTTTATACAATTTGAATGCCATTGATAAAACACAGATGTTGACTTTTTCTACAAAAAGAATAAATCTTTTGCAAACCGGGTAACATAAACTGATTTCTTCCATCTGCGACTTCTCTGAGTTATGGCTGAGCGCTTGGTATAGAGTTTATTTTTGGCTGAACAATTTATTTTAGACAGTTTGGTGAAGAAATAAGAGCATTTATCATTAAAAGTTATGAAGAGGTATTAAAGAGCAAGTTAGAGGGAATTAGCCCCAACATTAGTGAGACTCCACTAAAATACAGTCCTCTTAAATTTCTGTACCCCATTAAAACCTCCGTATGTTAACAAATAACCTGAATTATTTTTTGGAGGAACTTTGCATGACAAACCCAAACAAAATAAGGCATGAATTCAAAAAAAGTGTATCAGGAATTTGTATTCATCCTTATTTATGCAATCTAGAGAGGGAAATCTATACCCAATCTTCACTAGAGAAGATTGGGTAAGAGTCAAAGCTCAAAGCTTATTGGAGAACAGCTTTACATTTCAACTTTTAGGTCTTGACTGGTGCATTCTAACATATAAGTGAATTTGGAGAGCTTCTATAGCCTGTCTATAGTCATGCCAACCATTTAAAGCCTTTCAGAAAACAGACATGTTAACCCAATCACACCTACAAACAGCTCCACATTCATACACTGTTGTCAGTACCTTACCCAGAGGAAGAGGTACCCTAAAACAGTGGTTATTAAAATAAGGGCCACAGTCCAGGGGGGACAAGGGGGTGCCTTAAAAAATCAAGAAAGAAAATAAGAAGAAAATCCACAAAGAAATTTGTTTTTTTTAAGATAACAAATACAGTTGTGCTTGAATGTTTACATACCCTTCCATGGAAAACAGAAAAAAAAATCAGCTGCCAGTAAAATAAATTGAAATTGTTAAAAGTAATACCGTAATAAATAAGAAATGTAAATCATGACTATAATTTTGTATATATATATAAATACATAAATACATACATATGTATATAGGGGGCGACAGTGGCGTTGGATGTAGGAGTTTGCCCTGAAATCGAAGGGTTGACGGTTCAAGCCCCGGCTCTGACTTTCAGTGTCGTTGTGTCCTTGGGGAAGACACTTCACCTACATTGTCTACTGATGGTGGTCAGAGGGCCCGGTGACACCAGTGTACGGCAGCCCCGCTTCTGTCAGTGAGCCCCAGGCCAGCTGTGGCTACAATGTAGCTTGCCACCATCAGTGTGTGAGTGAATGGGTGAATGAATGTAGTGTAAAGTGCTTTGGTCAAGTCTCCTAACTTGAATAAAGGCGCTATATAAGTACATGCCATTTACCATTTACCATATTAATAAATAATACAAGCAAAGAGTTTTGTTGAGCAACACTTTGAGGCAATCACTGAAATTAGGCGTTTTCTTTAATGTTCAGGAAATGTTCAGTAAGACCTCTGTACCTGTTGACGGGTATGCTGGCTCACTGTGTGCATTAACATGGGACATTTTTTCTTCAGAATTACTTTATTGATAAAAAAATCAAAATCAGTATTTCACGTTACTTAAACATAATTTAGTACATTTTTATTTAATAATAATAAAAAATTTTTCAGTTTTGTGTTATTTGTGTAGATTTATCATTTTCTTCAACGGGAGGTTGTGTAAACTTTATATGTTTTAATAATTTTTATAAACTTTTTTTTATTTTGATGAATCGATCAATCACAATTTTTATTATTTTGTATTTAAATCTGAATTTTGAGGTTCTTCTTTTGTCTAAGTATGTAAGACAGGATGATCCCACCTTGACTGACAGTGCACTGAAATACCTTTTTCCTTTTGAAATGATATTCTAATGTGAGACTGATGTTTAACACTACAGGTACAAAAAATTAGAGCATGTCTACATGTAGACGTTGCCTTGTGCATGGCACTGACAAAAAAGCTCTGCCCTCCCACTTTTCATACATTTGAGAAGTTTGATTTCTTTAGTTTTGTTATTATCATCAACAATGTACTGGATAGTTTTCTATTAGTAGAATATAATACAAAGCTAATGCTAGTAAAGTTATATTGCCAAGCTAATAAAGAATTTGACATTTCTTTATATATTTTGTAGTGTTGTATGTAGTTTTCAAATTGTTCTCCAGCCAGAAGCTAATGGAAAAATTTTCGGAAAAGTATAATCTGCAGCCTCTAAACAGTTTTCTATTTTTGTTTTAAACTGAGCTCCATCCATTTTCTCATTGGCAGCCTCCTTAGTCCCAGCAAGTAAAGTATTCCCACGTCATGGTGTTGCCACCGTGGAAGTCACTCTAATTTTTGTGTGTGTTCAGAATAATGTGCATTGGCAGTTTCACCTCACACATAGCATTTTGCACAAGAGCAAGAAAGTCTTTTGCAGGTCTGTCAGATAACCTTCAGCTACATAACTTCAAATAAACTGCGCATTTGACTTCTTAAGGCTCTTTTTAATGACGCACAAAATCCATCAACAGATGAATCCCATACAATTCATATCTATTTATCACTCTTGGTTCAAATATGGTTTAAATCTTCCATTTGCATCTTCTTACAGGTTTAGGGTTAAGGAAGGATCAGGAGTCGGGATATCGTTCCTAAATCCAGCTCTCATGAGATGATATGTAGATACACTACAGATATTTAGTCAGAACTAATGACAATTTGGAGACACCAATTCAACCTGCATTCATGTTTTTTGGAATATGGGAGAATACCAAAGTACCTGGAGGGAACCCATGCACCCAGAGATCATGCAAAGTCAGTCCAGAAAGTCCTTAGACTGGGACTCAAGGTGAGAGACACCCTACAACCAAATGTCCCACTGTGCAGCCCTACTTTAAAACAATCCACTTCAATGTAATGTAGTCCAAACAATTTGATTTAATCCTATGATATACAATCAAAAATTTCTATGTAATTAAATAATAATATTAAACTTTATTGATCCCACACTGGAGAAATTTACCTCTCTATTTGTCTCATTCTCTTGGGGAACAGTGGGCTGCCACTGTGCGACGCCCAGGGAGCAGAGTGGGGTTAAAAGCCTCACTCAGAGACCCAGGTTGCAGGCTGTGTGGATACAACCGGGTACTTGAAACCTCCTCAGAGCACAAGCGCACTGCTCTAACCCCTAGACCAACACTCCCCCCCAAAAAAAGTGAAACTAAATGTGTTTGAACATCTAATGCCAGTTGGTAAAAAGTTCTAAGGGGGTCCAGCTGATCCCTTCAAGTCGAAGACCCATCAGCCCAGATTGTTGTATGAAATGGGTTTTATAAATAAACTTTATTTACGTAACTTGACTGACTGAGAGTGGAGAGGAACCATGAGAGAACCTCCAGTGGAAAATAGCTCAACTGGAGAAGCTATCTGCCATAATCAACTAGGATGGTGTATAAACGTCTGCCCTAACCCCTCGCTGCCTTGATCACCTTATATAGTGGGGACTATATAGTGGACTATATAGTGGACTCAGTTGACTGACTGTTCAGAGAGATGATCAATACTTTTCACTCCCAGTGTCATGTAACTCCACCTCCGCATACAGTGACTGCGCCATCTTTGTTATTTAACACCGCCACAACAAATCCCATTATGCTTTGCGAGGAGACCTTCCAGAAAGCAATATGGGATATATGTGCTCATCCAGTGACCATGTATGACCTCTGCTTTGTAAAGTGCATTGTGAGAAATTTTGAGTCAACTACTTTTTAATCAACTAAACGATTGGACAGACATCTAAGTGGCGTAAACACTATATAATGCCCTATAGGGTGGAAGATGGAGCACAGCCTACTGTAGGACTTCAGAGGACAGAGTCACCCCACAGACAACACAGGCAGGGACCCAAAGGTACCTTCTAAGTGAATAGAAAGTAGAAAACAGTGTTTAGGCCATGGTAGCTCCATCAATAACTTCATCTACATGTAAATAAGAAACACAGTCAACGCTGACATTTTGAATTGGAAAAGCTTCCTGGATGGGAAGAGAGACGTCTTCAAACTTGGAAACCAAGTCCAGTGGATTGTTTTAAATTTTTTTTTCGGAATGATTATGACCTGGATGACTGAGAACCTTCACCAGCAAGCAACGCAGTTAAGCAGAGAGAAATGTAATCAGTAAAACAAACTAATAAAATGTATTTAAAAATATACGGCAACCATTGTAATTTAATTATCTGAGTAAAGAGGGGCTGAGATCAAATGCACACTCATGTTTGTTGTCTGCACAAAGTAAAGTACAATGGATTATTTTGTGAAGGTTATTTATAGAATCTCAATAAGACCCACATTTGTTTGAGTTCGGATAAGTTTAAGCTGTCTAAAATGTATTATGTCTTTACCTTATATTTTATATCTCATTCAATATTATTAAGCACATGTTATATCTAGAAAATGAAAGAACTGTACCATTATATTTTCAAACGTATCATATTGTCTTTGATTGGGATATCTTTCAAATATTAAAAGTGTACAGTTGATATTTTTGCAGCTGTAATTAATTTCCATGCTGAAATATCCTATTGTTCAACCAAGTTTGCCCCTTTGGGAATTTTTAACGATTTCAGTATATTATGAACAATTCTCCATTGGATTTGACTAGATAACTGCTCCACATCTTCTCCCCTAAATCCAAAATCAAATCCTCACTTTCAGTTTTAAGAGTCATCAATTTTGCATGTGGCAAAAGAAATGACCACAAAAAAGCCTATTTCTCATTTTCCAAGTAACTGAATGAGAGTAATAGAGATGATTCAGAGTAAACTTAAAGAAACTAGAATTATGTTCTAATCCAGTAATGACAAGAATGCCAACTGGTATATTTTTGAGGCATTTGAGGTATTAATCCTGTTGAGGTAATAGAAATGGAAATGTGTTTCAGTGGAAACAGCGTAATGCAGCTGCTCTTGTTACCGCATTATAAATACATCCAGAAAAGTGGGATAATTTTAACTTTATGCCACATAAGCATGCCTGCTCGCTTGAATTAAACATTTGGCTGAATTTTCTGGAAGCCTGTTGTAGGAATATTGCTGTTGAGTGCTGAGGGTGAAGTCAGTGCCTGCTTGGAACACTGACCAATGTTTTCTTATTGCTCTTTGCCCACAGAGACGGTTGTGTTCAAAGGAGAGGAGTTATTTCAAGAATGTTTCCTGTCACTGAATCTGCTTTTATAATCAAGGCTTGTGGAGAAGGTCTTTAGCCTTACTTTGGATGCGACTGTCGAATGGATAAACAAGTGGAGCGGCAAACTTCAGGCATGTTGCCTCACGAAGGATTTAAAGACATATACCTTTAAAATAAAAAGTCATGTTGTTATAAAGAAATATATGTCAATGCTTATTTATAAAACTTTT